CCCTGTGTTGCCTGGTTGCCATGACGCCGTGGGCAGGAGGGCACAGGGCCCTGTGCAGCAGGGAGGCGGTCGCGGACCTGCAGAGCCTCCAGAGCAATATCAGCGGGGTAAGGGGCCGCCACGCGCACACAGCTCCTGAGCCTGCCCTCGCACAGCCCCCCAGACACCCAGACCCCCAGACCCGGGGTCTGATAAAACAGTCCCACCCGCCGCGTCTCAGGACCGCCAGACAACTGTCAGTGGTGAAGGTTGGTCAAAATATATTAACCAGCAGCCTGAAGTGGAAGGTACCGCTGAAATACCAAGCTTGTTTTGCTTTGTTTCAAGCAAGCTCATTGCAATAATAATAATTCCTCACACTTCTAAAGCACTCTTCTGGACACTCCACTCAAAGAGCTTTACAAGTCATGGGGATCCCCTCCAGCCCCACCTGGGTGATGCACCAGTCCTCTCCCCTAACACCAGCTCTCAGTGGGGAGGAGAACAGAGTGATGGAGCCAGTTCAGAGAGGGGGGTTATTAGGAGGCCATGATTGGTAAAGGCCAGGGGGAAATTTGGCCAGAACAGGGGGATAACACCACTTTTCGAGAAACACCCTGGGATTTTTAATAACCACACAAAGCCAGGACCTTGGTTTTACGTCTCATCCAAAGGACGGCGCCTTTTTACGGTATAGTGTCCCTGCCACTGTACTGGGGTATTAGAACCCACATTAGGACCGCAGGATGAGCGCCCCCTGCTGGCCCCACTAACACCTCTTCCAGCAGCAGCCTCAGATCTCCCAGGAGTCTCCCCTCCAGATACTGGCCAGGCTCACACCTGCTGAGCCCCAGTGGGCTGCCAGCTGGGAGCTGCAGGGTGATAGGACTGCTGGCACTGACAACTCTTGCACATCCACACATCACACACCCCTCTTTTGTTAGTGATCTCCTGTCCATCCTGCTACACCAGTGAAGCTAAAGGGTGATATTTGAGTGGGTTGGGTAAATATAAGCTTTGATTTACTGAAACAATAGAACTCTGCCTTGACTGTTGAGTGTGGAAGCCCAGTACTGCAATATATTTCTTCAAAATGATTACTTACTTGCCCACTTTACATAAAAATGTATGTAAAGCCACCTTTGCTGTGCTCCTAAGGAAGCAGAGAGCTGCTCTCCTCCACTTGTGCCCTGTAATGACTTTCCTCTCATTCCCCTGGATCAACAGGGTGCTGAGCTGAGAGAGACATCAGAGTTCAACACTAGTCTAGTGAAACAGTGAAACAGTGACCACATTTTTTTAGGATATTTTTGTTTCTTACTTCATTTAGAAAAATAAAATAATTCAGATATTATATTTAGGTCACATTTTCTACCTGGTTTAAGAGTTTCTGCAATGTGGTAGGGTGGTGCATGACTTAAACATCTTGATTCACACCCAAAAAATGTTGGGGAAAAAGACAATATCCCTGTAAAGGGATACATTCCTTTGTGTTGATGATGATTCCTCCTTCTCCAGTCCTAGTCTGCTCATTTGTCTTCTTGTTCCCTAATTTTATCCAACATTTTTATCCAGAGGGTTGCACTGCACTGTACTGTGCAGTACCACTGTGGAAGATAATCTTGTATTGACTTACTGATAGGTACCCCCATTGTGCTCCAGCTACTGTAAATGCATAAATTACTGCTGCATAAAAACTATATTGTACAGCTACACAATAGCTGAAAGAGGAGCTCCACTTCAGTGCCACAATAATGTAAGTGAAGTAACGCCAACGCATGCATACTTACACAATTTTTATAGTTTTTTTATCTTCAGATATTTCATAATTAACTTCCACATTCAATTTCTCTGTGAATTTTTGCCAGGTTTCTTCTCTGGTTTTTGCAGCTGCTACTGTATAGTTCCTTGCTATTACAACAGATTTTTATCCCCATAGTTTTCCATAAAGGGCTGTAACTCATAGTCACTGGATGAAGACGTGCATTCTTTCGCTGTGGTTTTGATGGCTCAGATGGATTGGATGCTTCACTCTCCTTGCCTACAGAATTGCTGTACTGAATTGCTTTAACCAGATAACTTTAAACCAAAGTGTGCCTTCATGAAACCAGAGTAATCCTGAAGTCCATAATAGAGGTAATTCAATCTGGCTAATTTGAGAAAATTTGTGAAACAGTAAACTCTGTACTCTGTACACAGTGAGAACCTAATGAGTGGGAAACTCCCGCTGTTTAATAACCCATTTATTCATCTCAAAGCAAGATAAAAATTCATAGTTTACATTTTTGTACTGGCACATTACACTTCTGTGGTAAAGAGTTCTTCACCTTTCCTGTATTCCAAGTTTCAGTCCTATAGCAAAGGAACATAATGATATTTTTACCTTGCCATTAAAAAAACATTCATCTGTGCTTTGTCATCGGGGTGACTAATCTATAGAGTGTCTCCTGTTTGTTTAGAAAAATGCTGCCTTGCAAAACCAGACTAATTTTCAGATTGTTCTGCACTCGTCTTGCCTGTCTTTGATCAGTGCTTTTTTGTTTTCATTCAGAATCGAGACAATTGCACTCTCTACACTGCCAATGTGAGCGATTATAAGGTATGTACAGTAGGAAGTGCTGAGCGATTGGTACAGCTGTAATTCGCTGGCAGAGATGTGGTGCTTTTCACCTGCATGTGATTGCACTGCTGCATGGGGCAGGCCCTGCACAGGAGAGCACAGGGGAGTCTTGACATGACAGCACCTCTGCAGAGTAATCTGATCACCACGAGAGTTTTGTCCTTCTGGTGAGTTAGTTTCCTTGCATCAGTCTCATTGCACCGACGCTGTTTGTGGTGTCTCGACATGTCGCTGGCCTTGCTCTGTTTGTTTTTATAGCGATGCCTCTCCTGGGCTCTTTATCCAGAATCTACTGAATACTCTAAGGGATATTGCGTGTTTCCCTGTGAGTGAATGGAAAAGTAACGAGTATCTCAGAGACGTGGCTCTGCAGATGGGGTAGAATGCTGGACCAGGCTTTGAACTAATTGCCCCTGTCGTGCATCTGGCTGGAGAGCAGTGCTTGAGAGCACAAACACTGAGAGTACCCACCTCATCTCCCTCCCATTGATTCTGTAATATTTCTCCCAGTCTGAGAGTCAAGACCCATGTCATTTTTTCTTGTACTGAGCAGCATGACAGATCAGGGTCCATGCATTCATATTGAAATGTTATTCCCAAGTTTGGCGTATCTCTTCTGGCACTTTTGAAGGTGCACAGCACTGCATTGATATACAAGCCCGAATCCAACGTGGTGTACAGGAGCAGATACTTGATCTTGTGCATTCCAGAAAAAGGTCTTGGCATCCTCACTGCATAGTAAACACTGTTTCCCTCCTGCATTCTGAACAGATTAACCTCTCCAGGAGTATTAACCCTTTACAAGGCAGGACCACGTGAGCACTGGGTGTGTGTTGAGTGTACCTGGCTGTGGATGGAGAGCTGTTTGGAGGTTAATGACCACACTGTTCTGAAGCTGCTTCTGAAGCTATTGTCTGCATCTCCAGACAATAGGAGATGCCTCGCGTTGTACATGGAAGAAGGCTGACAGAGTGACCAAGAAAGATGTGGCTAACGTGGGTGTTGTACAGTTCCCTGAATCAAACAGATCATGGAAGTCTGACTTGGAATGAAGCATCATGGAGCAGCTTGACATAATGATCACAGTGCTGGAGTTCTGCTAAAAGTCTGACAAAGTGCTCTTTCCTCCTAACCTGCACACACGTACTGCTGCTCTATGCATCCTGCCTGTTATTCCTCAAAGACTCTAGCAGAAATGCCACACCACAGCGGGGATTTAAAACTGGACTCTTATTATTATTGGTAGTAGAATTATTATACTGGATTATTATTGTTAGCTGCACTTGGCACTGATGTGTTGAGTGTCAAAAAGGCCTCAATTTAATGTGCTTTGAACCGGAGCTCAAGCAGGGGATGTGTATTATTGGACTCCAGTTTGCACAATCTGAACTGTGTTCCTCAAAATCAAGAAACAATGAAAAGCCGCTTCATAATTCCTTGCTTTTCCAATTTCTGAATAAATGGTTATTCATTTCCTCAGTGCAATACTCTTAAACCCACTTGAACATGTTTACCAGACAATAAAGGAATTCAGTGCAAGAGTTCAGCACGCTCTGTTCATCTGAATCAAATTAATTCTCTTGTTGGCTCGGATGGATTTATGTTTTTTTTGAGAAGCAGGATTAAATTCTCAAACTTTGGTTTTTTTGAAGCTGCCCTTATCTGACCCCTCTGGTCGGACTGGGACTCCATTCCCCGACAAATTATTGTCCTCCTGGAAACCACTATTTGATTCAATGGGACTTCTTTTCACTTAAATCCGTGGTCTTATTTGTCACTGTTTAAGCCTGAGCCTGCTCCAGCTACCTCACCCTTTCTCCTGCCAGTGCTAACACGGCAATGTGTCTTGTTTCCTGGGAGCCGACAATGAGCCGGCTCAGCTTTGGGAGATTGAAGCCCGGAAGCCTGCCTACCAGCGGGTCCAGGAGAGACCCGACGGCATAGGCTTCATCACGGCATCCTGACCGTCTGAGTCCGGGGCTCGGAGCGCCTGGCCTCGTCATCCTGTTTTTATTCCCTGTCCGTGTTCTGGATCCTGTTCCGGATTTTAACCATGTTTTGTCTCTTCTCGGATGGATCACCTGGTTTTGGACTTTGGACTGCGCCCCAGATTTCCCCTCTGGGCTCTTTGGACTTGTCTGCCTTGGCCACGCCCCCCCGTCTGTCAACCCCTTCTGATCCTCGTCGCCTCCTCCCTGTTGTCCTTCTCCACTTACTTCCGGATGATACCGTCTGCATAGGGTCCAGAACTACGCTTGACGGGAGCCTGGACCGCCTCCTGTTACAAAACCCTTCCAACAGCCACAAGACCAATGACACATATGGAGTAGAGCGTTGGTCGTCTCCAGCGTTGGTGTTGACTAAAACCGGTACTCTGTTACGCTGTACTTATTTGATATTGTTCGCAGTTTGATGGTGATGTCTAAGGGAAGGTGCAGAGTTGTGAATATTTCTGCTACTCTGCTGACATCTTGGTGTGTTTTATCCAGCAGGAATGTCCCAACTCCACACTATCTTGCTTTATTGAGGAGCTCGGGGTCCTGATTCTCGAGTTTGGACACACGAGAACGAACGTCTCTTCGAAGCTCCTGAGGCGGTTGCATCGGCTGAATACGAAGGTGTGTGTTTTCCCTCCTCCTCTCCGTCTTCCGGTTCGTCCCCCTCGCCGTGGTTCCGTGGGCAGGCGTTGGGCCGTTTTCACTTCGCGGCGATTTGTTTTTCGGTGAGAATTTGCAGTTCGCCATCGGTTCCTGCACCTGGATGCATCTCTTCAGCCTGTCCCCAGGAAGAGGCGGACCTGGCGTTTTGAAGTTCCCGTGAAGCAAGACTGCTATTGGGCCGGTACCCCTCATTAACTGGCTTGTTTTAGAGAGCGGGTCCAATTCTCGCCGTCGCTTTAAAGCCATTCCCTTTCAACACAGAAGCGCAGCGGGGTCTGTCAGCTATGCTGGTTTGTTCTATATAGTCGACTGGCACAGTAGCCACAGGCTGACTAAAGAGTGCGCGTTTTCAAGGACATCTTGTCCTTGATGCACTGGCGTTCTGTCACAGTCTGTGTCCATTAAGGAACGAAAGTGTTCGGTATTACTTTCAATAAATTTTTTCAAACGTCAGGGCTGGATCTGGACGGAAGCCAGCACTCTGAACTCCGGCAGAAGTTGTGCTTGAGTGTGAGAGAGCGAGATGGTGTCTAAACTTTTTTTTTGAAATCACTAAAGGTTAGGGATTAGAAGCCGAGTATACCCGAGATGAACTTATAGCATTGACTGTCCTTTCTCTTCTGTTTTTGTATGTGCGTGCATTGCAGCTTCTCCACACGACCTCGCAAGTTAAAGTAAAAACGATCTAATCCGCATTCCTCATCAGTTCGCACTTATCGCCGGCACATTCCCAGCATAATCAGGTTTCTGATATTTACTGAGCATTTCGATGTCCAAGAAAAACATGCCATAAAGTCTGACATTTAGATTTAAAAAAAGAATTCAAAGTAATCCTAAAATTCCCTGTACACCAATTAGCACAGAACTGGATTTCTGGGATGAAAAGGCTTGAATCTGGGAGGATTTCTGCTTTCCTGCGGTGGGACTTTTTCTCATCTCTTGCCAGTGAATGTTATCAGCCGCCCACTTTGTAGACCCGTTGCGGTTATATTAACATGACTGCGTTGAGTCAAACAGTTTATAAAAACCTGTAAAAGTATACAGTACCTGCTCATTCACACCAGCTTGTAATTCTAGCTGGTATTCACTCCAGTTGTTCTGTTTCTCAACATTTTTATACATTTGTGGTTGAGTAGAATTCCAGTGATGTTTTGAGCATTTTAGTTCTCATGCTAGAACAATAGACGATCCCTACTATTAATAGAATTGAAAATAGAAATGAAAGGTGAGTTTCTGGAGTTGCAGGAGACCTACAGTACAGTACCTGGAGAATGGCCAGACTCATTCAGAGCTGTAGTTCCCTTCAAGGGAACAAGTAACAGGTTTATTCCATGCTGAAAAGAGAAGAGAGAAAACACAGCGTTCTTCAGGTGTGGGGCTCACTCACTGAACCAGCGTTCCCTTCAAGTACCTTTGAGACCCTAACTCACAAGGCCCAGAATCACCTGAGTACCTAACAGCAGTGAGCTCTTACCTGCATGTTGTCATTTTAAGATCAAATTAAGACTTCAGATTTAAAACCAATTTTTATACATGCAGGAATAGAGTTGTTTTTTTTTTTGCGTCACCTCAATGGGAGGAGACATTCTTGGACAGATTTCTGCTGCATGAGTCAAACAATGCCATTGAGTGTTCAGCTCTTATCTTCTTGTGTAACTTTTTATTCCCATCACTGGTTGTGGCCCCGAGGGGAGAGTTTAAGGTATAGTGTTGCCACAGAAGTCAGGCCCACAAACTCCAAAGGAAGCAAAGGGAGATCTGCAAGCACCGACAAGCAGCAGATTGTATTCCTTTCCCCTTGACAGAAGATCTCAACTTTTGCCCTGCTGTTAGTTTTGAAATCTGATTGCTTCTGCACTCCTCTGTAGCCGAGTCACAGGAGAAGCACGCAGCGTCTTTCCTCAGGATTCATGCTAATTATGAGGGATCGGGAGGGTTTTTCCCCTCACCGCGGAAGATGAGACTGGTGGGCCCTCGCTAGCGGAGAGCGTGCAGGCAGCAGCGTGATCCCAGTGTCCTGCCCCAGGAGCTCCGGCTGGGCTCCCTGTGGGAACTTCCCCACTGCTGCCCAGTTCCCGTGTTCAGCCCGTTTCCCTCCCGGGTTCTTGCTGGAGCCAGGCCCACATTTGAAGCCCCGGGAAGCAGCAGCCATGCCCTTGTAGCTCTCCAGATGTTCCCTCCTCCCTCGAACTGCACTGAGGCATTCTAGATCCCATTAGAAGAGAAAAGCTCTCTCATCCCTGGGTGCGCAGAGACGCCGCAGCTGCAGCGCGGGGGGCCTGAAATGGGAAAGAAGTGAAAGCTGATGCAGACTTTCCACAGGTGTGCGGCCGCGAGATGGGAGTCGTGCTTCCAGTTTTGATTTTGTGCCCTTTGGGGGCGGGGGGGTTCTCTTGTCTCTGCTGTGCTCTTTTTTCGCCAGAAGGACCAAAAAGCGGACTGCCCACAGTGCGAGGCCCATGAGGAGCAGCCACCCTGGGAGTTCCTCACCGCCCTGCTGTCCGTCCTGCAGTCCATCAACGACAGCTGTTAGCGCGGCGAGCAGACGCCGCCGGCCGCCACTCCCGAGCTGGTCTTGTTCCCGGCGCCGTCCGTAGCGAGGTACAGGGCGAGACCGGAACCGCGGCTCGTGTCCGAGGCCGGCCGGGACCGCTGCGTTCCGGCCGTAGATCTTGTTTGCTCTGTTCAAGGTTTGAGTTTTCGACCCCACGCTATGGATGTCTGACTCCGTTCCTGGAGGGCCTGGTGTCCAGTCCTGTCCATCGTGGGGCTAATTATTTAATCAGCTGCATGATTATAGTACTTGTAAGTTGTTTATAAGCACCGGTGGCTTTAAAGGCGTGTTTTGAGTCATCTGCTGTGACCTTGGGTAACACCCTGTAGACGTGTAAGAAAACAATGGTTTAGCCAGAAGAGAAACCAGCCGGGTCCTCCAGGAAGGGATCTGACTCTGCTGCAGTAGACCCTGCAGCTGCAGGGAGCTCTTTCGGAATGAGCAACCTTGGGAGAGGAATGGGACATCGTACAGCACTGCGTGCATTCAAGCCCATGCAACTGCAGAGCCTTTATTGAAAATAAAGTGCATTCATGGCACACTGCAGTCGATGGCTGATTGGAGAAAATCTGCTGGACAGCGTTCTAAGCCATTTATAGTCCTTGCTGCAGTAGTTGTAGGAATAGTAGCTGGACGGATCGACTGCTGAAAAGGCTCTGAAGCTGGGAAACCTGTTCTAGGCCTGTGAACGTGGGGTTTGAACGAATTCCCTTGCAGACTGAGGCACCCCCGGCTCCCGGCAAACCCTCCTTGTGCTTTTCGAGAGCTGAGGAAAGGGAAAGCAACACAACCGGTGGATGGGCTGGCAGGCCTGGTCTGTCACCCTGCCCTCTGTCTGTCTGGAAACGGGAGCTTCTGCTGCTGCTAGGATACCTAAATTGCTTGTTCACAACGGCCAGTCTGGAGACTTTACAATATTTATAACTTTCAATAAAGCGTATCCTGGAGGCATTTCTGCGGCATTTCAGGAAACAGACAGCACCCTGGCTTAGTTTCCATGGTTTCCTTGTGGACTCTGGGGAAAATCTTTTTTTCCTTTCCCCAACTGGCCTTTCCTCCCTCTTGGTAACTACACTACCCACACACATGGCCCTGGGTTACATTCGTACACCACTGCTGGCCTTTTTTACTGTAGCCCTGGAGGCAGAGGAGGAATGCTCCAGCCTGCCACGTTGCTGAGGCCAATACCCTGGTTCTGGCATGAGTTGGACAGCAGCCAGATCACCCTGTAGCTCCCAGCTGGCAGCCCTACTGGAGCTCAGCAGGAGGGGAGACTCCTGGGAAAACCGAGGTGTTAGAGGGGCCAGCAGGGGGCGCTCACTCTGCAGTCTGTGTGGGCCCTAATGCCCCAGTGTAGCGAATGGGACACTATACTTAAAAAGGGCACCATCCTTTCGGATGAGACGTAAAACCGAGGTCCTGATTCTCTGTGCTCATTAAAAATCCCAGAGTGTTTCTCGAAAAGAGCAGGGGTGTAACCCCGGTGTCCTGGCCAAATTTCCCATTGGCCTTTACCAGTCATGGCCTGCTAATAATCACTCTGCTCTCCTCCCCACTGAGAGCTGGTGTGTGGGGAGAGTACTGGCGCGCTCTGACTGCCGTCGCATCATCCAGGATTCAGGTGGGGCTGCACACTGGTGATGCAGGTGGAGGGGATCCCCATTACCTGTAAAGTGCTTTGAGTGGGGTATTATAATTATGAGGTCCCTCGCTCGATCAGGGCAGGTCATGAGAGCAAGCATGAGCTGTTCTCAAACTAAGTAAAGCAGTATCTTTTCTTGATGCGACTGCAGTAGATCCTGCGCAGCAGCAACCCATGCTGAGTGATGCCGAGATGGGGGCGTTTGCTTGAGCAGTCTGCCTGGGCGGAGTTGTCATGCCCTCCCTGGGCTCATGAGGGCTTTGGCCAGGAGCTCCAGTTTTATCCCAGGGACGCGGCACTAGTGTCCCATCTGGGGAGATAGTGGTCATGTGCTCAGGCTCATCCTGCTGGGAGAGGCTCTGGCTACCTGCAGAGTTCGCTGGGACAAGCATCACATTCCCCGATTCTCCATGTACAGCCCCTGGCTTGACAACACAATGATCTGGATGTGTTTATTTCCTCCAGGGCCAGAACCTGACGGAAGGGGCTCCTTCAGCCCAGAATTTGAACTTGGTGCTTGGAATTCACAGATCATACTGGCAGCCCCTTCGTGTGACATTGTTGAAATCCTGTATCTGTGGAAAAGCAAGACAAGACCCAAACTTACCCCAGAGGAAAGTTTTTCTGAGCGATGACTCACTGGGCACAGGGCTGCGCTAATGCTAAACATGACAGGGAAATAGCTCTTAGCAACGAGCCAGCAGATTAATCCCATGTCGGGAAATCAATGTTTTTAAATGCAATAAAATGTTTTAAACATAAAAGTAGTGAGCAAAATGAAGGTTTTTCTTCTTTTTGAATGATTGAACAAATGCCCCCCCCAAAAAAAACAAAAAAGGCAGTTAATCTGTGAGACGATTTAAAGTTGCTTTTGTGTTGAAAGAATCGTGAAGAAAGCCTTTATTTTCAGGAAGTATTCCAGTTTGCTCCCTTCTCTACATATTTCTTTAATTATACAACTATTTTGATTTCAGTGAAGTTGGCACAAAGCCATTTAAATCAAATCGGGAATGCTACAGGATGTCTGAATGCTCAAACCCAAAGCGCAAACAATGTACTTTGTTTTTAAATGTAATGAAATGCTTAATACATAAAAACAGGGAGCAAAATAAAGTTTTTTTTTTTGAAGAGCTGTAGCCTAACTTCATCTGACACTGTGCCCCAGCCAGCACATACACAATATCACACACTTTGTGCCACAAAAGGAGCCTTCTGTCTTTACTGGCTCACCACCAGGGTGGGCTTCATTCACAGTGGACAGTGACTCAGCAGGACAGCTGATGTTTTATAGAGCCCTGGAACTGCGCGATTTAACAAATGCCCCATTTAAAGTTGCTTTTGTGTTGAAAGAATCGTGAAGAAAGCCTTTATTTTCAAGAAATATCCCAGTCTGCTCCCTTCTCTAAATATTTCTTTAATTATACAACTATTTTGATTTCTGTGAAGTTGCACAAAGTCATTCAAATTCAAATCAGGGACACTACAGGATGCCTGAATGCTCAAACACAAAGGAGATACACTTTTCAAAAACTGCTCAGGCCAGTATAAGCCGACTGTGTCCATAACCTGGATGCCAATGGGCACAGAGCAGGATAGACCTGCCTTGGGACACTAATACATGGCAGGACACACACAGGACATGCAGGGGCCAGATCTCCTTACTGGCCAAAATATTAGGAATGAGAGCATCCTGAGTGACTAAACCAGTAAAGTTTCTAACCTGGGTACTGGTTAAGCTTGATGATCACGGGTTCGAACCTCGGTCACATCACTAGCTAATGACCGGCAGCCATATCACTCTGCAACTCACAGCTGGCAACCCCCTGAAGCCAAGTAGGTCTGAGCCTGGTCAGTACCTGGATGGGAGACCTCCTGGGAAAAACTGAGGTTGCTGCTGGAAGAGGTGTTAGTGGGGCCAGCAGGGGCGCTCATCTTGCGGTCCATGTGGGTCCTAATGCCCCAGTATAGTGATGGGGACACTATAATGTAAACAGGCGCTGTCCTTCAGATGAGACGTAAAACCGAGGTCCTGACTCTCTGTGGTCATTAAAAATCCCAGGGCGTTTCTCAAAAAGAGTAGGGTTGTTACCCCCGGCGTCCTGGCCAAATTTACCATTGGCCCTTACCAATCATGGCCTCCTAATAATCCCCATCTCTGAACTGGCTTCATCACTCTGTTCTCCTCCCCACTGAGAGCTGGTGTGTGGGGAGCGTTCTGGCGCACTATGGCTGCCGTCGCATCATCCAGGTGGGGCTGCACACTGGTGGTGGTGGAGGGGATCCCCATTACCTGTAAAGCACTTTGAGTGGTGTCCAAAAGGCACTATATAATTGTTAGCAGTTGTTATTATTAGTTAGTCATGCTGACTCTGTTCCCAGCAACGGGGACCCCTGTGGCCTCCTGCATGCTTGCAGGCTGATGTAGCTGCTGTTCAGGGGAGCGCCTCTCCTCCAGTCAGCGTTTGACTTGCACTCTGGAGCGAGTGATCGTGCTGTGGAGGCCCCAGAGTGTTGTAAACCCTTCAGGTAGTACCCCTGGCAGTAGTTTCAGGGCTTGTATTCTCTCCAGCTGCAGTGAGTGAAGCTGAAGGTTTTCTGTAGCCCTGGTTCCTGGAGTGGGGTCTCTTCCCCCCACAGCTCTGGTCCTCTGTTACAGCACTGAGTCGCCTCAAAGGTGTAAAAAGACGAGCAGGTGGGTGTGGTTGGGGTCTGCAGTTCCTCACTGTCCTGTCAGTGCAGTCCTGCGGCCCAGTCCCCTCCCATTCTGTCAGCAAGAGTGGGACTGGAGTGTGTCCCTAGAGTGGGACTGGAGCGTGTATTCTGCACACTGCTGGATCTCCAGTTTCTCTGTGGGGCTGAGATCGGGGTTATTCCAGGAAGGTGATGAAAGCCTGATGCAGCACGAAAATAACCTGCCTGCCAGATAAGGAAAGGTTCACTCAAGGGTCCCAGCAAAACTTCTGCTTTTCTTTTCTTGGCTGAGCACTGAGGAAAGAAATCTGCTCCAGGCTCTTCATGCTTGGCTGGCAGGAGGAGCGACACAGAAAAAAACTTTGAAAAACAAAGAAAACAAGCACCGGGATCTGGAACAATTGGAGGTGTGTGTGAGTGCTGGTGCTGAGCCAGTGCTCGGGATGTGATTTTCAGTCCCAAGTGAAGGAGGTACAGAAAGGGGCTGAGACAGAGGGAAACTCTGTTGCAGCAAGTGGAGATGATAAGATCACTTTATTGGCCATTGACAATTTCTTGCATTAGGAATCTGTCTTTTCACATACCCCAGCTTGCTCTCCATGAGGTGGCACACAGACAGGGAGAGAAGCTGGGGGTCAGAGCGCAGGGTCAGCCATTTATACGGCACCCCTGGAGCAGCTGGGGTTAAGGACCTTGCTCAGGGGGTCCAAAGGAGTAGGATTCCTCTTTAACCTTAATCCTTAACCCTAATTCCAGGGGTGCAGGATTTGAACCAGCAATCTTCCAGCCACAGGCGCAGGTCCTTAGCCACAGTGCCACCACTCCGCCCCAAATGGCGATGGTGATGATGATGATCCTGATGAAGACTGTGCTGGTCCAGGGCTGCTGGCTTACTCTGCAGATTGGGAGGCATCTGAGCAGTAAGAGCATAATGTAATGATCCTAAGTTTCCCCCTTTATCCCACACTTGGTATTATTACACACACTTTAATTGTTGATGTGAGGGGAAAAAAAAGTGGTGATGAAAGAGCCCTAGATGTCAAGAGTGGGTTCCTCCTGATTTATTTTCTGCTTGACGTTGACATTAACAGGCTGCCCTTTTTTGCTTGTGGGGTTGAAGTAAACCAGGAAAAACAGAGGCTGAATGAAAAGCCGTGACGAAGCACAATACACCTTTCACACTAAATGGACAGAAAGGCCTTGCTGGGAGAGACCGACTGCTGCGGCCGGTAATCAACAGACCAGTGGCAACAAGCCACGCCTGCGAGCAAACCGCTGTGTCATCGCCAGACTTTGGTCGAGCCTGCGGAGTCCCGAAAGAATGGAAAGTTCAGTACAAGCTAAAAACCGAACATGAACTGGAATGAACTGGAGTTCAGTGCACTGCACGTGACAAGCATACTCTCCAGAATATCTGTGCAATGCCACACGGTTTCTCTTATCAGTGCAGCCTCCCGAGCCTCTGAAGGTGTTTTCTGCTAGCACAAGCAGAGAGACCTCCACTGCTGCACTCACGCCCATAGAAGGAAAGACAGACAGACCCACACATCCATAGGAACCAATGCTCTGTCTTTTCCTGCACACTTGATTATATAGCTACCTTTAATTAGAGGGTCCCCAGAATTACAACTGCATAACATTTACTCATTTGAGTTTCTATTGTTTTTATACAATGCAGCCAGTTACTCTTATCCACAATCAAATGAAAAATCCCAAGTGAAAGCACATTAAATAAAGATGAATATGCAAAGGCGAAAAAGAGAACGGGGAAGTACTTTAAATGTCGCAATCTACATACCAAGGCAAAAAAAAATCAAATATACTTGATGTACATACAGCTTCCGCTACCAAGATGGCGCTCAGAGCCAGTTGACCTTTCTAATATGGCGTCTTGGTGAGGACAGGAGCATGTCTTTCAGTGTGTTCTCGCGATAGTTCCTTTCAGTCTGTGCTGGAGTGGTGATGTGTGTTTATTAACTCAACGATTTTTTACATATTTCTCAGTTTGCGGTAATTTTTAAGGTAAGTGCTCTTTCGCTGCAATTTAGGCGTCAGATGCCTGTATTAATACCATGATTCGTGCGACTAAGTACGTATGTATTTCTTAGAAAGAGGGTTAGGCTTAGGCTTAATTTCAGGGCCTAGCTGTGAGTTTTCTATAAGATTCGTGCCTGTTATCAATCTCAAGGTGTTTAACCTCATAAAATATTCTTACGTGTTGCATTAATGAAATGAAAAAACGATTAAACTTGGTGTGTCAAGATAGATTTTCGCGTACTTAATATAATTGTTTACGTATTTGTGCATGGCCGGTACTACTGTATTTTATATTAATATAGCTTCCGTTAATAAATTCCGTATATCGCTCATGTCGCATACCGTTTTTCTGTTTTAGATGTCTGGTAGCGCGTAGCTTAATTAAAAAAAGTGGAGCACGAATAAAAACAAGAATGAATTGGAATGATGGAGAGAGTTAGAAGTCGTAGCTAAGTCGGTTTGTTTTTGCCTTGAGAGCTTCTCTCTTCATGCGGAGTCACAAGTATCCGCTGCCTAAACAAGCTGAGCTCCTGATTCTGCAGGGTTGTGTGGTCTTTGACGTGTATTTCGACTTATTTCGAATATTGACGTCATTGCTGAATTTGCTGGCGTTTCCAGCGGGGAAAGTTTAAAATCCAACACTCAAAGATCCCACAGTTCTGTCAATTTAGTACTTCAACGTCAACACAGTTGACACTGGTCCAGCGCAGCCCAGATTAAAAAAGACCACACAGCAGAAGCAACAAAACGCATATTACCCTTACACACAGTATTCAATCACTACAAGATCTGCATATTGAGGTGCCTACTGCCGCTTGAACTGGAGAAAAGGCAGTTGTTCCAAGGCTCTAGAGCTGGAGTTGTGCTAGTCAGGATGATGCCTGGGTGAGGACGCACAGCGAGCAGGTTCAGCCTTCAGCCTCGGTGTTTACAAACTGGTGGTCCTACAGCTCCTTCTCCCTGTTTCCCACTAGCCGGGGGTTGTGCTGAAAGGATGTCGGACAGCGAGGACAGCGACTTCTCGGACAACCAGAGCGAGCGCAGCAGCGAGGCGGAGGAGCTGGAGGAGAATGAGGTAACGGTGGGCGCCCTCCCCTGAACCCCTGATCGATGCACAGTCTCCGTTTAGGCCCGGTGTTCTTTTACCCTGTGCTCACTGGACAGCGAGACTGGACAGGGCGGTCAGAAGAAGCTGCTCTGTCCGGGGAGCTGTGCCACTGCAGGGGTCACTGAACTGAGGTCTTTTTCGCGGTCAAAGAAGACGGGGAGTCGTGTGTTCGACGATGTGTGGCGGTTGTGTCCTTTTCTTCCCTACCTGTGCCAAGTTTCTTTGGAGTGTGCGGATATTATTTTTTGAAGTTTAGCGATCACCCCAGTTGTCCCATTAAGTGGTGGTGAAGGGGCTGCAGAAGATTGGCTTCTAGCTGGAATCTGCACGGCCTGTCCCATGTCCTGCCTCTGCTCACAGATTGTTCTGCTGCCACTAAGACAGCTACCTGACCACCATTTCTTTCCCTTCATCCTCAGTATGTGGTCTGTGACACTAACTCCTGCCGTTTAATACTTTTCAAAAGTTCATCCATTTCAGTGCAAAAACAGCCAAGTGTGATTTATTATTGATAAAGAAACACTTTATATTATATAGCGCCTTGAACGGTGGCCTATCAAAACACTTAGTGACACTTAGCGCCTCGTGCACTGGGATTCCTATGCATACTGATGGCTTTAAAAGAAAAAGAGCTGTCTGTTTTTAAGCACAGTGTGTTATAACTGCTTAACACAGTGTTGTACCCTGAAAGTTTTCAGATTTCCCTGCTATCAACGACTGTGCTCTCTGACTAGCTTTTCCTTCCTGCTTCTCTGCTCTGTGCTTGGGCGCAGCTGGGGTACAGGGATGTCGGTTTGCTGGGAGGCCCCGTCTTGGCTGGCAATTAAACGTTAGCAGTTGGCTCAGACCTGCAGTTATCCTGGGTCCTTCAGCTCCAAACTTGTTTTCGTCTTGGCAACAAGAGCGCAGAGGTTAAATCAGGTTGTTAATTCAAGTTAGGGCATAACCTGGCGCTTCACTGTTAATACACCCAGAAAGGAAAGGTGTTTGTGTAGGTCTTGGGGAGGGAACAGTGACTCTGGTGCAGCTCGTCCTGCCGGGGTTTGAATCCTGTGCTGGTGGCAGGCCCAGTACAAGGTGCCGATCGCCCCGCCTTCGGGCCTCCAAGCACAGAGCAGAGTGGGGATTGTGCCCGCAGCTCCGAATCAAAGCGCAATTCCAGTCTTGGAAGCTGTCGAAAGGCAAGACGGAGGGTTTATTTGTGTGCTCTGGACCGCTGTGCCGGAAGGCAGGGGTTTGGGTCGGGCCCTCCCTGGAGAGCGGTTCTGGTCCGGTTCTGCATAGCGGGAGGGGTGACTTGTTTGTTGCTGGGTGTGTGACGGCCCGCTATCGTCCTGCAATGGCAGGAGGAAGAGGCCCAGGCCAGCGACAAGGGAGAGGAGGAGATAGAGGAGGATGAGGAAGAGTATGATGAGGAGGAAGAGGAGGATGATGACGACCGGCCCAGGAAGAAGCCACGTCACGGGGGCTTCATCTTGGACGAGGCCGGTAAGATACCTGTGTTCCTCTCTCTCCCTCGGCACTGGGGGTGTCTCTGTGCCACTGGTTCATTGAGAAAACCATTTGAAAATATTTTTTTATGGTAATTCTGGAGCAGATAAAAGAAGGGATTCAATCCTCTGCCCAAATTCAATGTAATCACCTTCTTTTCTGTCTTGTTACCTTCTGCTCACCTGTGAAATTGTGTGGTGCCCCCCTCATTCTGGGGTACAGGACAGTGAGGTGTGCTAGTCCTGTAAGTGTCAATTCTGCTTCTGAACCAGCATTCAGTTGTTGGTTCTGCATAGCTGAATTCAGAGGGAGGTCGTATCCAGGCTTGCTGTCCACTGTCCGATGTCTTAAACATAAAAGTGTTGAGGTCTGTTGCCTTTTAAAATGCATGATAAGGTGGCCAGAGAGCAGGCCGCAGGTTTGGCGGCTCTGACACTTAACAGGAGAGGCTCTCTGACACCATCTTTCCTGTTCTAGATGTGGACGATGAGTATGAAGATGAGGACCAGTGGGAGGATGGAGCTGAAGACATCCTAGAGAAAGGTCAGTGCGTCCTCGCGAGGAGGTGGGATGGAGAGAGTGGCTCGCGTGAGAAGCTCTCCTTCGAGAGCTGGCGTGCTGTATAGGTCTCCTGTGACTGGGTTTGGAAAACAAAACAAATTGCATTTAAAAAAGCCAAAACAAACCTTCATAGTGGCTTTATAGATCAGAACCTTTCAGCACCTAAAATTCTGAAATGGTGTGAAGCTGCCATCTGTGGGTTTATGACTGAATGCCTCTAACACCTAAAAAAAGTGGGGGGATTCTTTTTGTTGTATATACATTTTCTTATCGTTCTCTTCTGATGCCCCCCTTTTTTAACTTCTGAATCTGAAAGTTGGCCTTTGGTCTGTCTGCTAAACCTGTAGCGACTAATAGGAATTACAATGTTTCAAGACTCGTTTTGAAGCATCATAGGGAAAATGATGCTTCAACATGCGACTATATATCATAATGTTGGTATGTTATTGATAGCATATTAATTAGGCTGTTCCTGTAATGTCCTGATCTTAAGATTTACAGAAAACAGTCTTGAGCCAGTTAATTGCTCTGAAGCTGCTTTGTTTAGGGCTGACTAGGCCAGTGCATCATGGTCTGATTTTAACCTCTAGCTGGTGGAAGGAAAGATAGCTGTTCAATGCTTCCCATATCTTAAATTAGTCATGTTTTGTCATACATTCTAAATGTTTAAAAATTGTGCTTAAGCCCGTGATTACCTGTAGGGTATAATTCCTTGTAATGCAAAACCTTCAGAAACATATTTGGAAGTTACATCAAGCATGCTGTAAGGGTAAATTCCAAATATTTACCTTAGAAAGGTAGTTCTATTTACTGCCCCTTTGATGTCAACATCTTGAGTGATCAGGCCCTATGGGTTTCAGAAACACGAAAGATTAGATAGATTTTTGGCTTTTTTTTAAATGCCCCTAAACATGCATTCTGTTGTAAGCAGAGCCACCCATCCTCCCTCAACCTTGCCAGTCTGCATTTAAAACCAATAAGCTTCCCTGCCTCTTCAGTCTCCTTCCTATTTACTGCAGACTTACAGGTGTTGCCCACTATCATGCTGCTTTCCTGCAAGCTATGAGTGCTGACGTCTTGGAAGTTCAAATCCAGCTTGGGAAAGTGACAGCTCAGAAGTTGGGCTGAAGTCATTCTAGGGCTTAAGTAACACGCAGGCCAGGAGCACATTCTGGTTCCTGCCTCTGTGAGTGAACTGGGAGCGTGGAACACCGCAGTTCAGCTCTGGACTGACTGGAAAATTCTCATGGTGTCCCAAAGGCAAAGCTGAAAACGTTTGTGGTGTTTAAACAGGACGGCGTGGCAGAGGGGACTGGCAGCTCAACATGATGAGTCATGCACACCACATGAGACTTAGTCCACGTGCCGTTTAACGGGATGTTTACTGAGCTATCTTTCCCATTTTCATCTGTTTAACACCAGTAATTGGGTTAGACAAGGGGCCTCCAGAAAGGCTCCAATTTCAATTGTTTACAGTTTCTGAAGTCTAGTGCCAGAAATCCTTGTAATTGCAACAATTTGAGGCACGCAAACATTAGGCATTTGAAAAAAACGTGCAACATTAAGCCTGAATTGTTTTGCAATAGTGATGCCTGTTGTGTTAATTTTGACTGTTCCTTTGCTGCGCTCATAACTCTTTATTTTTTATGCATGCCTCCTTCAGTTAACGGTAAATCAATTCCAGATCTTGTTTTTTTGTTCTGTTTTGTATATCTGAATGTTTATGTATGTACTGTACGCATGCGTGATGGCAGGAAACCAACACGCACACGGACCGTATAACACATTGGTGCTCTTTGTGGTTGACTTGTTTTGCATTGGGAAAGAAGAAAGCACAGATGACCAAGAGCAGGAGCTGATGTTTCGATACTGGGGGGGGTTCTGGTACCCACTCAGTCGATAGAGCCTTCTAAACCAGACTGCAATCTCAGCCCTGATAATGTGTCTGTGAACTCGGGCCAGGTGGTGCTGGAGGTTCCTGATTAAAGCTCCTCTTACCCTTCTACTTCTAAATTGAAGCATCTAGCCTACATCTTCAGATGATGTTAAGCATTTGCAGTCTTGCAGTTATGATAAAATACATTTCAATTTAATATTGGCTATACAGTGGTCCAGTATTGCATGCATTTCTGCCTCACAGCTCCCGGGCCCTGGGTTCAATTCCGGACCTGGGGTGCCGTCTGTGTGGAGTTTGTGTGTGTGTGTGTGCCCTGCGATAGACTGGTGTCCCATCCAGGGTGTATCCTGCCCTGTGCCTATTGCTTGCCGGTATAGGCTCTGGCTCCCCTTTATGGAAGGAAGTGGTTAGAAGATGGATGGATTACTATGATGGTTAGAAACCACGCTCTACGACTCCTAACATTAATAGTGTCGACATTGAAGTCAGTAGAAAAGAATGCTGATGTAATATAAAATATAACTTTTTAGTTTGAATTCCTCCATTCGTAGACTAGGGTATTTTTTTGAAATCTTGAGTTGGGGTGCGGTCAGGCCTGGAGCAGTGGTGTGGGTGTTGGTGGCATTCCATAGGTCATAGGTCATAGGGCATTGCCAGTTAACCCTTCCCTCCTTGTCTCAGAAAGCAGGGAAATTACTTTGCAACTGGCCTTTGCTCCCGCTCCCCCCCCCCCCCACTTCAAAAGTCTATTTTCCTCCTGGTAACATAGCCTAGTGCAGCCTCCAGGGAAGTACTGCAGTACTGCTTGCAGTTCTGGTGCAGAGGAACAGGATGTGGACAGACAGATTTCTCAAAAATTACTGGGAAACCAGATGTCTAGTCTCGCCTTCAGGCATCTCTTTCTGTAACAGGCAGTGATTTGAGCCGTGAGGATGCCCTTGATTTTTAGAGACAGAACCTGGAGCTTTTTCTGGACAGCCCCTGGCCAGGAGCATAGACAACATAAACAAGCCCAACTGCTTGACATCAAGCTCAAACAAAAGCACAGCAATGTTTATTCCAGATAGAAAACAGCTTTTATAGTGGAAGTATCTTTAGACTGCAGAACTGTCCAGCTTTCCGTCTGGCTGTTGTACAACCTGCCAATAAAACAGCACTTGTACATTAAAAGCACTGTTTCTCATTGCGCACAGTATGGGGACTGTAGGCCGGAGTATGTTCCTTTAGTAGTATGGGTCCCATTTTTATATTGATTTAATATTTATTTATGTCCGGACAGATTTGTCAAAAAAAAGAATCTCTGCTTTCCTTACAATTGTATGTACCATTTGTACCTTTTTTTGGGTTCCTTTAGACATTTTGTTTACTTTTTTATTTTTTTCCTTCACAAAATTTTGGTTCCCTCCCTGACCCCTGTCACCCTTTGCTGTCCGCCATTGGTGATATAATTTGGCTCATGCTGTGTGCTGCAACCATCTCCACCTCCACCCCTCCTTCAACAGAGGAAGCGGAAGGTAAGTCCTGATTTCTTCCAGGTGCCAACATGGAGGCAGAGTAGACTGGGACACAGCAACATGTTGCCGAGTCTGTGACTGGTGCAGAAACACTTAACACGGAGCAGATATTTTCAGTGCCTTTTGAGCAGTAGGGAACAGGAGGGCTGTGCTTGTACACCAGCTGTCCCTCTGCAGCTTAGCTGTCGCTGTAAATGTGGGCTAGAGCGCATTCACAGTCTGCACTGCCAGTATCAGACAGACGCAGGCCAGGGGTTATTGCACCGAATCCGAACACACCTGCGTCGTAGATTAATGAAAGCGAAGATGACGTAGTCGGCGGGGGGGAGGGGATCTTTACGGAAAGAGATTTGGGTCATTCCAATCCAGTCCCATCCGTGTTGGCACCTGTGCTCTGGTGTGTGGTCACTGCTCTGTGCTCTGGCCGGCCGTCTTGTCCTGCTCGCCTGCACTCGGAGACAACCAGCCTTGCTCACTGTCACGTGTGAGAAGCGCCACTGTGCCGCTCCTTGCTGGGCATATTGGGATGGATTGGAGATAAAGGGGTTTAATTGGATGCCTCACCAGTGTCCGGGTTTGGAAAGTAGAAGTTCAGAAGTGGGGATAACAGCACTGAATGGACAATAAGATACTTTGATTTGTGTGCACACTGAGGAAAAAAAACAACAACCTCTCCCTAACCACACGCTTTCTCTTACTCATCCTGGGGGAGGAAACTCTTAAATCAAGGTCTTGCCACTGGTTTGAGAGCTCTCTGCACTCCTATGTATCCTGTTTGACTTTTAAAGTGTACTATTCTTCATTGTTAGAATTTCAAAGGTTTGTGTTGCTTAGGAGTCAACACAGAGAATTAATCAAAAAGGAAGTAAGCTTCTAGTAAACAAATAGTCACAATAGTTGCCTCTCATATAAGTTCCCATGTCATTCCAATGGAGACCATGCAAAGCAAGCTCCCAAAATATTTATGCACGTACAGTATTGGAAAATCCCAAAACTCCTTTGTTATGAGAAGTTTGGGGTGGGCGAGTTTGAGTTATGGAATTGAGGTTCTGGCCAAGAGAAGCTGCCGGTCTTAAATAGCAGTGTGATTTCCAAACCTGGGCCTGCTCCTCCCACAAAACAAGAAAGTCCCATCTGCCTTTCACAGTGTCAGTCCTTTGAAAGGCCTCTCGATCTGTCTGTTATCTGCTTTTAGGAACATAAAAGTGTTTGCAGTCCGCAATCCGGTGTGCGTTTGTTTTTATTTCTGTTTAAAATTCCAGTTGGAATAAAAGGCATCTTGTACCATTTACGGCTTTCTTGTTTCCAGAAGACCTGTTGATTTTGTGGTGTAGAAGCTGTTTAGAGGTTTCTGCTTTTGTAATTCAGCGAATCCCTACTAGGGGCTTGTGATTCCACATACAGCAACGGGCTGTGTGCCGTCTGAGAGGGATATTGACACGGGCAGTCTAGACTGGTGTGCGTGTCTTTCAGATTCCTGTTATGACGGCCTGTTGCAGTTCCCTGGAACAGGCTTATTCTGTAGGTCTTGAACCAGAATGGCTTTAGATGTAGACTGAAAATCACAAACCTTGTCAGTGAACTCATACATACTGCCAGTGTGAAAAATGACTGCACGATTTTCACTTTTGCCAGTAACCCTTATTAATAAGGCTTCTCCTGATGGGACAGTTGCTTTTGGATTGTTGTCAGGCTATTTGGTTTAAACTCTCTTTCTTACAAACAAGCTCAGAGGGGAAAAACAGTTGGAGCACTGTCACTGAATTGTCAACTTGTGATTAGAGCTTGTGTGATGAACACCAGAAACAGTTATTAGGTTTATCCAGTTTTATTAGCTGTGGGTTCTTGAGAAGCCAGAGGAAATGAACATTGAAGTAGGATTGAACCTTACTTCTCAGGGCTCAGTAAGTTACTGTCCTGGAGTGGGATGTTGCTCTTGAACCCGGAAAGCACAGAACCCCCCGCGGGCTGTTGCCTTTGGAGTTGTGAGGGAATGAGACTTGAGCCTGTGATGGCGTTGGAGGACAGCTGGCTGTCTGCTTGCTCGTGTAGTTTCAGGGAGTGCGTCGGTGAGATGTCTGTCTGGTTCGCTCCGCTGGCTTGATTTTTCTCTGTCCCTTTTTTCTCCTTAGTGTCCAACATCGATCATGTGGTTTTGGATGAAGATCGCTCGGGTGCCCGCAGGCTGCAAAACCTCTGGAGGTGTGTGTGCGCACAGGAGCACAAGCCCCTTCCCTTGCAAGAGACCAGCTCTGATCCTCAGTGTGAATCCCTGTGCTGTGTGACTGAGAATCATAGGCGCCTGTGTACACTTAGTGTTTTCACTGTGCTTTTCAAACTGTAATTCCCTTATTTAGGTTGAACTAATGGTATGAAAGTGTTAAGTCTTTGGCTGGGAAGCCTCTTTTTGGTTAATCGTACACTTTCTGAATTCCCCCCAGTTCATGCAGGGGAAGCACATTAGAGTGCTTATTGACCTGTTGTGATGTTGGTAATTAAATTTCGGAACGCCTTGTTAATGAAAAGCAAGAATTGTTTTAAAAGTAAAGCCGGGTTTGTGTCACAAGTGATGTTTAAAGCCAAACGCGCTGGTCCTAAGCCCAGTCCTTTGAGCCTCTGTTTGAAGACATGTTCGCACTGCACTGTCCTCAGAGGAAGGGGTTTGTGGGCCAAGCAGCAGAAAGCATTCCCAGACATCCATGTTTCCTCCCTCCCCTTGTGCTCACAGGCAGAAGGAGACAACTCTGAATTGAATGAATGAATTCTGAATTCTGTGGTTGTGCCAATAACTACAGGCTTCCCTGCCTTGCTTCTCTTGAATTGCTTTTTGTGTTTTCACCTCCTCAGAGACCAGCGGGAAGAGGAGCTGGGTGAATACTACATGAAGAAATACGCCAAGTCATCTGGAGGAGAACAGTAAGTGATTTACATGTATAGTTGTAGACGTTGTTGTCCTTGAGAGATCAATCTGTCCCATACAGCGTATACAGTGAAGCAGTTCTAAATTGCCATCCGTTCAGAGTCAAGGCTGTATTTTGGAAAAAAATGTGAATTCTTACACGGCAGAAGCACCTATAGTCAGTTCTCTTGCTCATTCTTAAGATAAACCGTTTATCCGGAATAATAACTTATATCCATATAACACCTTTCCAACCTCAAGAGCACTGTATGCTACTGTATGCTACAGTGCTAAAGAAAGAACAAGACAAAAAATACAATAAAACAAGAACATGTCGGGTGGGCAGTCAGACGTAGGCCCTAAAAAGGTGAGTTTTGAGTTTGTTTGAAGAGAGTCAAAGGGTTTATCTCTCGAAGAGTCTGAGGAAGGGCGTTCGGGGAATTTGATGTCAACCAGAGCTTGATTTCACTCAGACACCCGATTAGTGACAGAGGCAGGAGATCGGAGGAGGGAGAGGTTTTATCATAAAATCTGAGATTCATTTGCATAGCAGTGCAACTGAAGATCATGTTTTTGTATAATCTGACACAAAGGAAGCATATAAATAATAAAGAGCAATGGCACCAAGACTGAACCCTGCGGCACACCGTGATTTACCTGGGTCATGGGAATGTTTTGAGCAATTCTGAATGATTAACTGTATCGAAAGCCGGAATATGATCAAAGAGCATGAGGACACTTATAGCCCCCGAGTGAAACGCCATAAGTAAATCATTCACAACCCTGACAAGAGCAGTCTCAGTGCTATGATTACAGCAAAAGCCTGACAGGAGTGGTTCAAACAGATCATTTACTCTCATACGAGCCAATATTGGATTTGTAAATACTTGTTCTAATGCCTTAGAGGTGAATAGTAGAAAATAAAACTTGGTCTGTTGTTCATTATTATGTCAGAATCCAAGCCAGGTTTCTTCAGAATGGGAGTGATTGATGTAAAATCACTCCCATTAAAGCAGCAAGGACTACACCCCTGGGAAGTCCTGGTCCTGGAATGGGATTGAATGTGAACTGTATATTCCCCACCAGGCACTGGGGAAAGATCACAGGATAAAACAAAATGTCTCCATGGTGTATTTGTCTGTAACATCTGAACTGCACTGCATGTTTTCCCACTAATAGAAGTAGGAGTATTTTCTGGAGAGTGTGTCATCTCAATGGTAATCAGAAGATTAAAGAGGAATGTGCAGTTGTTTCACTGTTTATATAATAATTAATAAAGAATGTTGAACAGGTGTGTCTGGTCTGTTTGAAGAATAACCAAGTTTGTACAGCTTTTGTGCTGATAAAATGCATTTTCTTCCTTTTTTTTTTCCCCGTTACAAAAAACCCCCTCTTGAAGTTTTTATGGGGGCTCGGAAGAGCTTTCAGATGACATCACCCAGCAGCAGCTACTCCCTGGAGTCAAGTAAGTGTTCGGGTCTTCAACACAAGCAACTGTGTGTCTTGGCGCTTCCTGTCAGAACCTGCTGTCCGTTTGCCGTCCCTGGTGCGTTGCGCTTTGTGTCAAACACATGTTCAAGATTTTTCCTCTGAAGATACTGGCTCTTTGAAGCTTCTTCAAAGTTCTGGCTCTGGTTCAGATCCCTCAAGAGCCTGTTGCTAGACTGTGGCAGTGAGAGAGGCTGACATCTAATTACCCAAACTCCTGAATGTACCTCTGCACCCCAGAAAACTAGATCCTGTTTCATGGGATTGTTTTTTTTTATCTTAAAATGCTTTGTTAGCAAGTGTTGTCACTGCGGTGTTGATATTATGCTCCTAATATTGTTTTGAAATGTGTAGGTAGAGATATAAAGTGTAATATTCTTGCCCTCTCCCCCCACCCACTGCAGAAGTGATTCACCATGCTCCCCCCCAGAGCGTGCATCCATGTTTTGTAAGGCACTAAACCATGTGTCAAGGTTACGATTTCCTCCTCGGAGACCCTCCAGTTCAGTAGCAGTGAATTTCTGAGCTGGGAAGTTTAATGCATTTTTAATAATGGTAAAACACAGATCTGAGTTTCCTGGCACAGTCCAAAGACGTGCTGTCTGGGCCAGCTGGCCTGTGTAGATTGTCCCCCGCGTGTGTGTGTGTGCTTGCCAGTGACTCCGGCTCACCACGGCCCTCAGTGGAGAAAGGAACGGGATGGGTGGGATGCTGGGATCCTTGTGATGATGTGATGATTTGCTTGGACAGGATGGGGGACCACACAAAATGTTGTCAATCCTTGAATCGTACACCGTAGAGCTAACCATTCCAAGAACTTGGTCTAGGTGAATTTTGCTAAGGAGACATGAGAGTCAGTGTTGTTTTATCCCAGAATTAACCTTTGCTTCGCTGTGTTTGTTTTATTACAAGATTATTGCCGGTTCTTGCTCTCACAAACCCATTTCTGATCTGTTTCTTCAAGGGACCCCAATCTGTGGACGGTGAAGTGCAAGGTAAGTTTGCTTCTGTTTCTGTTCTGTGATTCTCCCTTTTGCGTGTCTCTAGCAGATGTTTCCTGTTGGTTGTTGGCATTTGTCACTGCAGCCTAGCTTCGGTGTGTGATGGTGTGCGTTTATGTTTTTGTCCTTGCAGATCGGGGAAGAAAGAGCCACTGCGATTGCTCTAATGAGGAAGTTCATTGCCTACCAGTTCACGGACACAGTATGTTTTGGAAAAAAACGTCCGGTTTAATGTACACAAGTGCAGGGTTTTCCATGCAGGTAGCAAAAACAGAAACTATGAATCCAAAAACTGCAAGCCTTGAGGTGGATGAGTATTTAAAAGACATAGGTGTTCATACTGACACATCGCTTACATCTTCTAGACAATGACAGTGTGCGCCAGCAATTAAAAACACCAGATTTTACCATATGTACTCTGTGTATAGAGTTAGTGTAACACTTAAGTCACTCAGTTAAAATTGTATGATTTCAGCGTAATTGGAGAAAGGGCAGGTCTGAACAGTTCACCTCACTACGCCCGCCCGGCAGTCAGTGAAACCTTAATGTTTTTCTTTATTTTAAAACTCTTAATCTGGCTTTGTTTTTCAACGAGATGGAAAGCTTTGCTAATTGCAAACGAAATGGTGCTTTGATCTTTGAGGTCCTAACTACCCTTAAACCCAGTGTCAGTGGGCCCTCGTACCTCTGCTTGTTACATTTTTTGTGAAACTTGCCGATTGGCGCTAAGCAGATCAAAAACGCGGTCCGCGTGGAGCCCCTGTCCCCCTTGACCCCTGCCCTCCTGCTGTCCCCACAGCCCCTGCAGATCAAGTCGGTAGTGGCCCCGGAGCACGTGAAGGGCTACATCTATATCGAGGCCTACAAGCAGACTCACGTCAAGTCCGCCATTGAAGGAGTGGGCAACCTGCGCATGGGCTTCTGGAACCAGCAGATGGTGCCCATCAAGGAAATGACCGATGTCCTCAAGGTGGTCAAGGAGGTCACCAACCTCAAGCCCAAGTCATGGGTGCGGCTCAAGAGAGGCCTGTACAAGGATGACATCGCTCAGGTATGACTGTGGCAGGAGGGAAGGAGGCACCAGCACTGGAGAACAGATTGACTTTGGTGTCACAGCTAGAACCTTCAGTATTCTGAATAATCTGTCCAACCCTCTGTTCCTCACCTGCCTTTGCTGGACTTGAGTTTCCTCCCTTTTCTCTCCTGTTTTACCCCCTTGAAAGACTGGAATATTACCTTTGGTAAGATGTCCTGGGTGCACAGTACAAGATGCATAAAAGCAAGAACATAAAAGTTTTGTCACAGTCTTGTTTTAAGCAGAAGTGTTGTTGGGCTGTTTTTCATGATTTGGCTGTGATTGCTTGTTTGAATTTTTTGTCAGGTGGACTATGTTGAACCCAGCCAGAACACCATATCGCTGAAAATGATTCCCAGGATCGATTTCGACCGCATTAAAGCTCGGATGAGCCTGGTGAGCATCAAGCTTCGTAGTGGTTTTGGCTCTTTTGGAGTGATTTTTTTTCTTCTTTTTGCCTGAGCTGATACATACAGTAGGAGCTACCTTTTTGCTAACGGCCAGTATTAATTAGGAAACTAACCTGTGCTGACCCAGAAGTCACTACTGGGGAAAGTCTATATTATAGCTAACATGTTAACAGACATTGGATCTCTAATTGAATCATTAACAAATGGAAGGAATGTAGTATATCTCACATATCTCTGTCCAAGGAACTTTTTCAGCTTCTTAAAGATGTTTATTTAAACCAAGGAGCTGTACTGTTTCTGTAAGATGTGGGACAGGACGTTTTGGTAGGGTTCAGCCTGGTCTAGATCCCTGATTGGCTGTATATATTGTATCCCTCCGTCACAGAAAGACTGGTTCGCAAAGAGGAAGAAGTTCAAGAGACCCTCCCAGAGACTGTTTGATGCTGAGAAGATCAGGTATCGTGAACAGTTTTTATTTCATTGAGCAGAGAATTCCAGGGTCATCATTTCCCCTGTGTCTTTCAGTATCCCAGTGTGTGTCCAGGCCCAGGTATAGCAGAATTTGCTACAGCAGCTGCAGCTCCTATGGCTTATATCTGGGAGTTTTAATCAGAATAAATTGCATTCCTATTATGCTTAGTGTTACAAAGGATCCCAAATCGCCTCACACACTGGACAGACCCCATTTCTTCTACCATTGTAGAATAGCTCCTAACTGGGAGACTTGCACCCAGTCAGCACCGGCAGCCACACTACACTGTACACCAGGGCAGAGGGGTGAGAATCTGCTTCCCCCATTGAATTAAGGAGGGAGCATTAGGAAGGGCAGATTGTACAAACCCAGAGTAGTCAGGACCTCTGTTTAAAGTCTGGTCTTAAGTTTTGTAGAAAAAAAACTTTGCTCATTAGAAGCACTGCACTAATGTTTGTAGAGTTTCGCTGGTCTGTGCAATAATTGTTGATTGTTAATTGTCCGTCTGTGCCGTTATTGGGAGGGGGCCGGATGAAGGGGAAGGGTGTAAAGATGGCTGGTTTCTGAGGGCTGCAGCTCCAAACGGGAGGGTGGGAGGGTGCTGGAGGACCGGTCCCGGCGCAGGGTCGCTGACCGTCTCGCACGGCTCGATGTTCCAGGGCGCTGGGCGGGGAGGTCACCACCGACGGCGACTTCCTGATCTTCGAGGGCAACCGCTACAGCCGCAAGGGCTTCCTCTTCAAGAGCTTCGCCATGTCCGCCGTGGTAAGAGCGCAGCTCCTGCATCGGGGCGGGGCGCAGGCGTGCCCCCTCTGCCTGCGGGCTCCCAGTTAGCGGAAGGCGCATACCGTTTGGGGGGGTACTGCGGGGCCAGGCAGCCATGTTGGAGGACCCAGCAAGGAGGGCAGGGGCCAGATCTTGAAGGTCTTGGGCTGTCGGGGGCAGCTGTTTTTTGCCACCGTTCAGGAGTGATCCCGGCCCCTCACCCTCCCTCCCTCCTCCGTGTGCCTCTGCAGATCACAGACGGGGTGAAGCCCACCCTGTCCGAGCTGGAGAAGTTCGAGGACCAGCCCGAGGGGATCGACCTGGAAGTTGTGACGGAGACAACAGGTGATTGCACTGCACGCCATCAAACAGCCCAGAGCCCGTCCCTTCCTGTAAACGCGAATCAGCCTTGCGTTCTCCCTCTTTGTGAGCTGTCTGCTGTGGTGACTCATTATGCTTCCGTTTCATGCTGGACAGCCTAAAACAAGAAAGGTGCCTTCTCATGCTTATGGGGCCTGTCCCTGCACCCACAGTTATAGTACAGTGGTGACATAATGGTTAAGTAGCGTTCACATCAGGCCCTGCATGAGCCAACAGATTATTTTTCTCTCCTTCACATGCGTCAATGTCAGGCCACTGCGTGTTTGGCCAGCTAGGTAGCTCTCCGGAAGTGGAGTTGTGTTTCCGAGGCACGGCAGGCGGCGCTCCTTCGCACTGGTCTTTCTCTGTTAAAACTATTGATCCTGTCCCGGGAGGCCAGGGGTGCTGAGCTAAGATCCCGTGCTGTCGTATCCACAGGGAAGGAGCGAGAGCACAACCTGCAGCCCGGGGACAACGTGGAAGTGTGCGAGGGGGAGCTGATCAACCTGCAGGGCAAAATCCTCAGCGTCGACGGGAACAAGATCACCATCTTGCCCAAGCACGAGGACCTGAAGGTACAGGCCTGCGCCCCGGCACACAGGCCTGCTGTTCCTCCTGCAAGGCCCCCTGCGCTGTTGAGGATTTACAGTTAATGGGGTGTGTGCAGGAGCAGTGGGTGCTGTGAGGTCATCCTGGGTTGGGATCCGAGGAGGGGAAATGGTGGAAACGCCGTGTGCGAAAGCGTGCATCCCGTCGTGTGTTTGGTTTGTACCCTGGCACGCGTGCCAGGTAATCTGCTTCTCCTGAAACGTGCTGAAGTTCTGCCCTGACGATAGTGGCGCGGGTCTGGGTGGTGGGGGCGTGCTGATCGTCTCTGTCCCCCAGGACCCTCTCGAGTTCCCGGCCCACGAGCTGAGGAAGTACTTCAGGATGGGCGACCACGTGAAGGTGATCGCCGGGAGGTACGAGGGCGACACGGGCCTCATCGTCCGCGTGGAGGAGAACTTCGTCATCCTCTTCTCGGACCTCACCATGCACGAGGTAGGGGACGGGGACGGGGGCCCCTGTACACACTGGTGCCTTCTCGCATTCGTGCGGCGAAGCGGGGTTAGAGCTGCGTTTACCAATAACATGGGACAAGTGTAGGATCTTCAACGGGAGCACAAAATGCAAATTAAAAAGAAGCGGGTCTCTTGTTTTTTATGCATAAGCTTATGGTCAATTCCACTTATTTTTCACATGGATACAACGCTTGTTTACAGTCTTTACTGCTTGTCCAGCTCTGCTGAGCCACAGGCTCCATTCTTTTAGGGAAAGATAGGCCCATAGATACAGTACAATGAACAGAAATGTTTGACACGGACTACATTTGCACAGTACAGTATTGCAAGAGCTACATTTTGCAAGAGCAGAACATTTTTCTAACCATCTCCCGCACTCGTTAGTGGAAAGTTTTTGCCTCTTGGGCTCAAGCAACTGTTGCGACTGTTTTCTGGTGATGGAGGAGTCTGATGGGCAGGAACCCTTCCCAGTCCAGCCCGCTTGTCAAGAAACCGCCAGCTGTTCTTTCTAGTCCAAGTGAAACAGCCGCCCTTCGTCACCAAAACACGTCGGCAGCAATCAAAACCAATACCACAAGGAGTGCAGCGGCTTGTTAATGGAAAAGAAATCTTTAGTCTGGTTCTTCAGCTTGTAGGCAAAGCCTCTCTTCCTCCTTCATCTGCGCAGCCAGTCACTGTAGTTCAGTGGTGTGACGGGCAGGCGTGCTGGCCAGGGCCGCCTCTGACCGCGCTGTGCTGCCTTGTGTTTGCAGCTGAAGGTGCTCCCCCGGGACCTGCAGCTGTGCTCGGAGACGGCCTCCGGGGTGGACGCGGGGGGCCAGCACGAGTGGGGGGAGCTGGTGCAGCTGGACCCGCAGACCGTGGGCGTGATCGTCCGCCTGGAGAGAGAAACCTTCCAGGTAGGGCTGTCCTCCCGCCCTGGGCGTCTCTTCACTGGGCTGGCTCTCCAGTCCAGAGCACGCCCTTTACTGCTCTGCCGCTGCTGCCCTCTCCTGAGCAAGTGTGCGTCGCGTCCGTTTCAACCACATACTGTTTATGCAGTAACAAAGCATAAAAAATGCTCAGAAAACAGTGCTCACACCAATAAAAGGAAGAGGGTTCTTAAGTTTTCAAAGGAAAGGAAACATACTTTTTCTTAGACTGTAGTCAAAAGATTCGGATGTCATATTAAAATTGTATAGCGCACTAGTAAGCCCTCGTTTAGAATATTCTGCACAGTTTTGGTCACCATGTTTCGGGAAAAAAACATTGCTGCTCTGGAATTTAAGAGAAGGGCACCCAGATACATCCTGGGCTTAAGGGAATGTCCTACACTGATGAGCGGAAGGAACTGAACGTTTGTAGTCATGAACAGAGAAGGTTATGCAACCGCGTGTGTGCAACAGCAAAGTAGGACCCCCCCTGCAACGAATACCCTTACAAAGGAGTTCCCTGTCAAACCCCTTTAGGTCCTCAACATGCACGGGAAGGTGCTGACTGTGCGGCACCAGGCTGTGAACCGGAGGAAGGACAACCGCTTCGCCGTGGCCCTGGACTCGGAGCAGAACAACATCCACGTGAAGGACATCGTCAAGGTCATCGACGGTCCGCACTCGGTACGGGATCAAAACAGGAACATCCCGAAAAATGGCCTAACATGGCATCAACCGTTTTGAAAATATTTAATGTAGACGTTCCTGTTCTGACAGATTTCCCCATATCGGTTAAAGCGTGTTTCGAGCACTTTTGAACGTGTTGCAACGTGACAGCAGTCCGTAGTCAAGCCAGCTTGGTCCGGGCCTCTCCGGGGTTTGTCCCATCGTTGTGCTTGTTCTTCCTCAGGGCCGAGAGGGAGAGATCCGGCACCTGTTCCGGGGCTTCGCCTTCCTGCACTGCAAGAAGCTGGTGGAGAACGGGGGCATGTTTGTGTGCAAGACGCGTCACCTGGTCTTGGCTGGGGGCTCCAAGGTGGGCGCTCTCCCTGCAGGGACAGCTCATCGCCACGCTACACCGGCCTGTCGGAGGCTCCCAGCACGGCACAGCTGCCTCAGACAAGCCCCAGTTTGCTGAGGGGCAACTGTGGTGGCCCCTGAAGTGGAGTCATAAAAATCAGGTAGAGGTTTATTCCCTGCCGAAAAGAAAAGAGACAACGTTTCGGCTGGGTGGGAAGAAGGCTTCACAGCTGGAAGGTTGTCTCTTCTCTTTTCGGCAGGGAATAAACCTCTGCCTGTTCCTCTGCAGCCTGTGCATGCTGATGCAGCTCCCTACTCGATCATCATTTAAATGGGTCATTTTTCTTTACGCTTTTATTTTTTCATCATGATGTATCGCCTCACGGCTCCAGACAACGGGAGTGTGGTTGTAGCTTGTAGATCCATGGGAGAAAAGATGAGGAGACCCTGGCTACAGCAGTAAAACCACTGAAATAAGAAATATGTGGAGTGCTGTTTAGTAAGTAGTGTTATGTAGGAACTACGTAGGATGTGTTGTTCCTTGGAAAACTTTTAAACTAACGCACTTAAACTACTTCAAGCATTACAGGTTGAAATCACAGGTGAAGATGTGTTATAGGAGCCCTGTGCCCTCTTCCTCCTGTCTGCCTGAGTTTGTCACTGAAGGCTTGTGTTATGTCTGTGTGTAGCCCAGGGATGTGACGAATTTCACCGTGGGGGGGTTTGCGCCCATGAGCCCCCGGATCAGCAGCCCCATGCACCCGGGAGGAGGGGGTGAGTACGGACTCCATACCGCCACCTGCTGACCTCACACGGACACTGCACCCAGATCTCAAGGGCCTTTGCCATTGCAAGCTTTTCTTTCACCTGACATGCGTCCAGCTACCATAAACAGAATCGAAAGCAGGCTAACGGATGTGATTGGCTGTCGCTGAGGGTCAAGGCTCTCCCGTGACCCCACAAGTGATTGCTGAGAGCAGTGCAGTGTCCTCACTCTCCTGCAGGAGGAGCAGGCGTTGTCACAGGAGCTGTCTGCTCATGTGCCACGTCATCCCCATCCCCTCGTGATGAGTCATCCCCACTTTCGCTTGACATCGATCCATCACGTCGAGACGCGTTACAGATTAGTGGAGTTACTTTGCGCCTCGATTTCCTGCAGTCACTGTGATTTAAATCCTCATCGTGTGATTCGCAGGTCAGCAGCAGAGGGGTGGGCATGGCGGAGGCATGGGGCGTGGCCGAGGCCGGCGGGACAACGATCTGATTGGACAGACAGTCCGTATCTCACAGGGACCTTACAAAGGTAAGCAGAGCCTGTACTGTATAGAATTAGGGAGACTACAGTCAGGCCCTTCAAGGACACAAGCTGGTTCTGAACAAGAGTGTTGAACTGTAAGACTAACAAGCCACAGTGGAAACGCATGTACCCAGAAAATCTACACACCCTTTCCAAAGTAACATTTTGTGGCCTAACAGCCTGAAATAAAGACACAAATCAGAATTTTATCTGACCTTTAATTTACACGTTGTAACACCCATCCGTAAGGTGAAAAATAAGTTTGTAGACTTTCTGTAAGCACTCTATATGTGGAGTCTTATCTGTAGAGGTCTCAACATGCTAAATATTTTGCGTTGTGATTCCCCTCATTAATAAGGGCATGATATTTGCCCACAGGCCTCCTATCTTGCAGGATCTCAAGGACCTATGAATTCTCAGGGTTATGTCATTTGTTGTCTTTGCCAACATTATACTTGTCAGTAGTGGTGCCCAGTGTTCTAATTTAATTTTGTACATGAGGAATAGGCAGTGATTGCCAGGACCATGATTTTATGGTGTAAACCTGGAAAAAACACTCATTCTGCCACATCTGCCAGTGATTACATTGGGTTGTAGTGCTCCTGGCTTAACTGCAAAGAATTGTATAAATATTTTGATCCTTAGTTAAGATGTCTGGGAAACATCAGACCAGTAGAAGTTCATAAAAATATTCTGTTCAGTTAAAAACCACTTCTCTTCCGTTTCACAGCAATATTTTATACTTTATTTTTCTGAAACACTGTTAAAAATGCTCTTCTAACTTTTACTGTGAATACCATACACTTAAATACATCCTCTGTTCTTGACCCTGAATGAATAAAAGACTTTGTTGTGCAAACTCTCTGTGGCTGCCTGGCAGTGGCTCTCCTGTCGGGGGGTCGCAGGTCTCTTGTGGGCCAGACAATTTGAGCTCTCGCTCCGTTTTCCCAGGGTACATTGGAGTAGTAAAAGACGCCACAGAGTCGACGGCTCGTGTGGAGCTGCATTCCACTTGTCAGACCATCTCCGTGGATCGGCAGCGTCTGACCACTGTGTAAGTGCCTTTGGAATGAGAGGCAGTGTGAAGGGGGGGGCGTCTGTCCAGTGGTTAGGGTACAGGGCTTGTGAAGGGGGGCCTGTCGGTCCAGTGGTTAGGGTACAGGGGTTGTGAAGGG